CATAACGAAATGTTTACTCGGATGTACTAAATAACGCGAACGCGTATAATCATAGAGTTTTCTATTCAACAATCGTAACATATATTTCACTGTTCGAAAAAGCGATATGAGTGATAAAAATCGTTTCCAAAATGTTACAACAGTGCAAACGGTAGTCACTTATTAGATGGTTTGGAAAAATGTATTGTACATCTGATTAAAATCGTAATTTAACAGATATTATCCGACGACGATGTGGCGACGCAGAAAAGAAACTGCCGCGATTGGGTGAACAGTTTGCAGAAATGCGAGGAACACGGACCTGAGGACATTGTACGCATTAATATAATAATATTATTCTTACATCCATAAGCGAAGTCGATTTCATTTCATTTGATTTTGGGACTATTACATGAACGTCTGTAATTTTCATAGTTTTTCAACACATTTCTAACGTTTTTCGATACTATAATGTATTGTGTAAATAATTTATACGCTTATCGTATACGAATATAACGAAAAATATGTACAAAAAAAATATACAGTATATGTATATATAAAAAAAAAAATACATTTTATTTTTCAATTTTCAATTAGATTTGTCCCGATTCCGACGTTGACTCATTCTCATTCATCTCCATGACCAGCGAAGAAAATAAGACGCTTTGTGGCAACCGTTGTCGGTAAATATTATACTAAACATTTCTACAGTACAGTGGAATAATATGATATTACTCGAATTATATAAGCATTGTTCTTTAAATGTCGATTTATCCAAAAAGTATATACGGCTAAATACTTACCGATAACTTACGGAATTTTCTCCGTGTCTGGATTTATTAATTTCTTTTATTTTCTACTATAAGAATGTTTGAAAAAATGCATTAATTTTTTTTTTTAATTTAATTTTTTTCTTTTATAGGCACCATGTTTCCAGAATTTCACGACTGCGGATATTATTGAGTACAATTCAGCTTGGACTAACATTCCTGTTAGAACATGTTGTGATCATTGTGTACTCAAATTTTGATAAACCGCAGCTCCATTATATTTCTATAATAATTATATTTATTAAAAATTCAAAAACAGTTTTATATTTATTTAATTATTTATAATATAATATGTCAAGTTTACATTTGGATATATTAAACTGCAATGACATATAAAATATATTATATAATATCATAATAATTGTTGTGAAATTATGATATTAACGGAAAATAATAAATTGTTAAATATATAGGTATGTAAATAATAAAATTCGGAGTATCTACAATCTACGCAGATCGACCGCAACGACACTATATAGTTTTATTTAATTAGACCCGCATTAGGTAATTCCATAAAATAGGATTAAAATAATTTTGTAGCCTAATTGCATTCCGTTCTGCCGACCGTCACTATAATACCGGGTTCACATATTGCAATTTTTTGTATGCTTTTTCCCGCATGCTTATTTTTACTCGTGCAAGAACTAAATTGAACAAATGTATAGCGTTATGCAGAAAGCAACCATCCCACAATCTAATGAAAAACGAGGTTTTAGTAAAACCAGATAGAGAATTTCAATTTACGTATCCTGCAAAATACAACCAAACCAACATTGAAGTGTAGCGCTATCTATCAATGTTTCAAAAACTAACTGAATGATTATATCGATAAAAATTAATGCATAATACATCCATGACACATGGTTTTGTAATGGAGGTATGACTGATAATAATAATGAGATAATATCAATCCAAGTGGCTTGGTCGTTTTCTGTAAAAAATGATAATCATTATTTTATTATCAATGGATTGTTTTAAATATTAAAATTTAAATCTGTTATTCTTTGTTATGACGAATTTATTCGTTATTTGTTATTTTAATAATTATAAGTAAGATTTTTAGTGTACCAATCGAAAGGTATCTTTCTATCTATCTCTGGTGACAAAATCAATTGGCTACAAACAAGACGAATTAAATTATGCCGTAATCAACCATTTTCATTGTTAATGAGTACAACCTTATCGGATGAAAACTTTTTAGAAATAAATATTGAAAAACGTGGTCGTGGTAGAATATCAAATGACATATTATTTTCATCTGAAACCCTAATAATTAAACTATGGCCTAATGGGAAAGAGATCAACCAAGCAAAGCTTGATGATATTAAGTCAATAATGCATCTCATACCTGCTGATGCTCAAGAATTTTATACACATTTTACAGGAAATGGTATCATTGTAGAAGATGTTAATGGTTTCAATGAGAATTTAGATTTTGACATAGAAACTAATAATATTGATTAATAATACACTTTTTTAAAATTTTGAATTACACTGTTTAACTATTTAATTGTTATAACTCAAAGACTGAGTTATATTAAATGCTATTAAGTTTAAAATTATTATTATGTTACTAAAAAAGGTTGTTGTACCTATTTGATTTTGTTTTAATAGATTTTTTTTTAATTTTGTTGTTACACATACCTATTGTTTTTTAATGATATAACTCAGACTGAGATAAATTAAATGCTGTTAAGTTTATAATTATTATTATTATTATTCTAAAAAAGGTTGTTGTATTTGTTTTTGTTTTAAGACTTCTTATTAATTTTGTTGTTACACATATTGTTTTTTAATGAAATAACTCAAAGACTGAGATAAACGTTACTATTTAAGTTTAAGAAATTATGTTTGATGAATAAAATTGTTAACTACCAAAGTTAGTCACATAAGTGTATTTTATTAAAGATTAAAAAATATGTTATAGCATGCATTGAAAATAACCAACCATACCACATTTTTACATTAATCATAAAACAACCAACTGACATAAAGCAACCATACCACATTTTTACATTTATCACAAGACAACCAACCACAAATATTAAAATAATAGTGAGTATTGATTGTATTAGGAATATATTAGTAAGTCTTTAAAATAATAAATACATTCAATGAATAAGATATTTTGGTTTTAAATCATATGAGCTGTAAACAAATTTAAAAAAGATGTTTTTCTAAAACATCAATTATATCCATATAGAACATTATTGATAATACGCATACAAGTTTTTGCATGCTCAAATTTGCATACAGTCCAACATGTCGGACAGAATTTGTATGCAATTGTATGCCAGTTTATTCTCGAACACGAATAGTTAACTGCGTGATCAATGTGATTGTGTTTTATGAACTTTTAACATTTTTTTTTATTAATAATAATATTATTAATACAATTATTAATATAAATTATTTTATTATATTTTATAAGTTTCTTGCTTCTTTTTTAAAAATTTTTTTACGAAGCATATCGTAAACAATAATTACACCTTTTTTTGTTGGATTCATTTAATATTCTAGTTAAAAATTTAAAAAAAAAAAAAAACAGTATTTCTACTCGCGATCTAATCAGTTTTTAATTGTGGCGCACGCAAGGGGGGGGGGTTAAGGGGTTGTAATCTCCCTCCAAAATTTTCTCCGATGTCTAGGTTAAAATTTACAAATTTTACAAGTTTGAAATATGAAGAGCTAGTATTGAATACCTAGTATTATTGATTATAGAATAGTCTATTTTATTATCAATGTTATTATTTAACCCTTTGAAGCATTGTGGTTATGCCATGAAACCACCTATTTAAAATTGTTTTTCTTGTAAAAGCATAGTGGTTAATTGTTGAAACCACCTTTAATCTAATCACCAGATAATGCTTTATAAATCAGTATTTTTTTTTTCCGATAAAACTCTATATTTAACTTCGAAAATACGATTTTATCGGTCGGTTCGGTGAAAAATCTAACAATCATTCATTTCTGTTTCTGACTTGTGATTAATTGGGTCTAAATTGTAGTTATCGACTTAAAACCAAGATAAAATTGTGTCAAATTTAATACTGAACGTAAGTAAACATTTTATTGTTATATACATCTTTTCGTGTTATAAATATTTTCTTTATTCTTGGTGGTTATAATATAAAACCACTGTGCACATGTAATAACAATATAATAATACATTATCACAACGGATATGATAATTTATTATACTTCTTACTGAATATCTTTACGAGTTATATATTTGTTTTCATTGAATTATATAATATATTTATTACACTTTTTCGAATAAATTTTTAGGTAATTTTCTTATATCAATAATATGGATATCGATGAAGTAATAAATAGAATTAATGAGATGTTGAATGAGTTAGAAGAAATTCCGAGTGATGGGGAATCTATAGTGTCCGGCGAATCTGATATAGAAGATTTTGAGTTTGATCCTACAAATGTGCCAAGTACTTCTATAAATTCCGAAAATATTTTCATGGACGTAGATTTAAATTCTCTACCAATAGTATTTGATGATGGTCTTGTTTATGGGTTTGAAAATTATGAGACTGATAATACGATTAATAATCAAACAATAAATGTAAATATTAACCCTTTCAGACCCAGAGTACACTATAGTGTACTCAAAATTCAGTAAATTATTATTAATGATCGATTTGGTTTTTCCGCGTAATGATAATTGTTTCTAAATGAAAAAAAACATGTACAATTGAATAAAAATGATAAGAACGATGTATTCGTAATTCTACTTATTTTATAATCAAAAATCGAAAAAAAATCCTGAATCAAAAAATTGATAATAGATTTTAAAATTATAGTTGATTTTTACTCCGTTAGATCACATTATTGATTGATCGTTTTTTTTCCCATGAGAAAAGATGGTAACGAATGTTTTCCAATTTATATAACCTCTTTGAGATGAATAGTTTTTATTTTATATCAGAAAACATATGGGTATACTATAGTGTACCTGGGGTCTTCGTATCACGTTAGCGGTCTTTTTGCCGCGCCAATTTGTTATCATGATAATAATAATTAATATTCCGATTGTGTGTACAATGATATTATGTAGTTATTGTAGTATAATACTTACTCGTTAGAATATAAATTTTGTTAATTGTTTACATTTTCTTGCGTTATTTCAACACTTCTTTGTAAAAAAAAAAAACGTTTTTATATAAACAGTATAAAATGCTTCGTGAGGATGACATATTAGCTTTATTAGGTGACGGAAATGTATCAGATATTGGGGAATTAGATAGTGGTGATGAATCTGAAGACTTTTTTCCTGAAGCAGAACTCACTGAACTTTTAAATGAATTTGAAAATAACGATGGTAATTTTGAAAATGAGAATGAATATAATGTTGTTGGTAAGACTTTTGAAACAACTAAAAAATGTGATATTCGTTGGGCACGAAAACCTTTTGCCCAACCACGTCTGCATTTGGAAAACTTAGATCAACCTATATATCCTATTTTACTAAGATCTCCATTAGAATACTTTAGTGAATATTTTAATAATGATATTTTTGAAAAAATGGCTTTTTTCACAAATTTATATGCAGTTTCTAAACAAATTTCGAGATTCAAACCAACAAATATAAACGAAATGAAAATATTTATTGGTATTCATATTATTATGGGCTCTTTAAAATATCCTCGAGTACGTTTATATTGGGAAGACAATTTTCAAATTAATATTATTGCACGTAATATGACACGAGACCGTTTTTTCGCTTTACGAACTAATTTTCATATAATTGACAACAACAGTATAAGTAAAGAAAATAAAGACAAATTCATCAAAGTGAGACCATTATTTGATGCAGTGTTAAAAAAATGTAATAGCCTACCTTTAGAACAGGACCTTTGTGTTGATGAACAGATGGTTCCTTTCAAAGGCCAACTATCGATCAAACAATATATGAAAGGAAAGCCTATTAAGTGGGGGGTCAAAATTTTTTTATTGTGCGGAGGTAAGAGTGGAATGGCTTATAATTTTATGCTATTTCAGGGATATTCAGAATTAGACAGTAACTTGGTAAAATCGGTAGGCTCTGGTGGTAGTGTTGTGTTACATTTAACACAAAATGTTCCTCCGAACCGTCATTTTTTGTATTTTGATAATTATTTTTCGTCATTTGGATTATTTGAGAGATTGCAACAGTTGAACATTTACGCGGTTGGTACAATTAGATCAAATTGATTTGCACAACCACCATTTTTAAGTGACAAACAAATGCGGAAAATGGGTAGAGGCACTGCATTTAAAGTTACCACGGATATGAATCATTGTAATATAGGACTAGTAAAATGGTTTGATAATAAAGCAGTTACTCTTGGTTCTAATTACGTAACATCTGGGGATGTTGACAAAGTTGAGCGTTGGGACAAAAAGAAAAAGGCATATGTAGAAATCGAAAGACCAGAAATTGTGAGAAGATATGATTCAATGGGCGGTGTTGACAAAATGGATCAGTTGATCAGTTACTATCGTATTTTAATTAGATCGCGAAAATGGACATTACGAATGGCTATGCATGCATTCGATATTGCCATTACAAACAGTTGGATTCAATATACCAAAGAGGCTGAGCAGTTGAATATCCCTAAAAAAAATGTATTAGATTTATTACATTTTAGAATAAATTTAGCGAAAGATTTGATAACTTTCGAAAAGCCAATAACACCAAAACGTAAAGGACGTCCGTTGTCAACCCCATCAAATGAATCAGTAAATGAACCATCTCAAACGTACAAAATACCAAAAGTAGACTCTCAAAGACCCACAGAAGCAGTTAGAACAGATACTATTGACCATCTACCAGAATTAGATGATAGGAAATATGCCACAAAATGTAAAAACAAAAAGAGTGAAGGACGAAGAACCCACGTGTATTGTTTAAAGTGCAATGTCCATCTTTGTCTCGACAAAAAAAGTAATTATTTTAAAAATTTTCATGTTAACAAATAAGATATGTTGTTACTTATTATTCTATACCTAAATATTATAATATATTTGAAAAAGGTTATTATTATAATTATTATACAAAAGAGACTGTAATTTTGTGATTTGGTAAACTATTTTTATTGTTGTTGATAAATTATATAATTAATAATTTATTGTTGTTTTTATTGTTGATAAAGGATATTATTATTATTATTATTTTAAAAAAAGATTGTAATTTTATGATTTGTTATACAATTTTTATTGTTAAAAAGCACAGGAGAATACTGTATTAATTTTATATTTTTCAAAGGTTTTAAAAATAAATTTTATTTGATTTGTTTTACTTTGTTTGTTAACATCGAAAAAGATTAATTTAGATTAATAATTAGTTGACACAATGAAAAATTTATTTATAGATGAATATTGACTCCACGAAGACCCAAGGTACACTATAGTGTACCCACTTAAAACTTCGCAAAAAAAATTGATAAAATTACGAAACTCGGCAAAATTAATTTTAAGACTATAAATATAAATATGATGAAAAAAAAAATTTTTTTTTTAATTTTCAAAAAGTCGGGTCTGAAAGGGTTAAGGTTAATAATAAAATTAGAAAGTGAAACGGAAAGATTTTCAGTAGGAACATCTTGGGTCCGGGTGGCTTCAGCGTAGGTTTTTGGCCTGGAAAAGGGTTGTGACTTCGAAACTTTGGTTGTAGGTGATTTAGAAGGTCTTTTTATTTTTTTATTATTAGCTTTCTTGAAAGCCGTTCAGCCCCTGAAATTGGCCGTGTGATCCCCGGAGCAATGAACGTATTTGACTGGACTGGAACGATCCTTAGTACAGCTACTTTTACTATGAGCCTCACCACATTTAACGCAGCGAGGTGGGTGACGGTAATATTTAACCGTGTGACCAAAGTCTTGACAGTAAAACATTGAGGCGGCCCGCGTGTGGTTTTATTTGGTTTTTCTATTACTATTTTGGCGTTAAATAATGATTTGATATTATAGATTTGATTGTTATTTTCATTATGATCGGGGTCAACAAAAAATATTGGAAACGAGTGATTATTTTTTTTAAGATTGTGGATACGCTTCACTGAGTACCCTTCTTCCGACAATGCTGCAGAAATGTCCCTACTGCAACTACTAACAAACTTGCGTTGGTTTCCTTCGGATAGGTAACTATTTCGTTGAATTTTGAACGCCGTTAGGTCGGACGATAAGATGAGAGGAAGTCGACTTACACTTAAACCCATTGGGGCCGGCGATCTTAATTAAATTATACTTAAATGCTGAGAAATTCGCGATGTCAGTGATGTAGATAGGCGGCGCAATAGGCACGCTTTGGTCCGTGGAGTGAGGTGGATTTGCGACGGTGTCTGCGCGGGAGAGTGAGACCGTATCAAAAATGGCGTCATCACTGATGTCACTTGTGCCAAGAACGGCGAACTTATTAGGTAAAGTGGAACATTTTTTAGACTTTTTCCCTCGCGAGGAGGAGAAATTGATGCGATAGATAATATACGCTTGGAATGCGAACGTGGCATAACATTGTAAGCGTTGAAAACGAACACCCTGAAAGATAATTACATGTTTATAATAACGATACGGTATAATCCGATAACGAAGCGAGCGAAATGCGTGTATTCACGGTGAACGTAATCGCCAGACTGGGGTTAAAATATCACTTCCATATTATTGGAACACAATTTATAATATTTCTATCTGATATTTCCAATTATAATGATGTAACGTTTCGTTAGCGTTATCAAAAGATGCAATTAATCTTCTTAGCTTATTAACATGATCAAGTGCATTTGTTACTATTTGTTATTATTCATTATCGTTATTCTTAGTGAGGTGTTTCTTTAAATGTTATACAATGTACATGTATATACAATATATTTTATATGAACATCATTGTCAAGAAAAGCGTATTATCCGGGAACATAGGCCGTATTATCCAGAGTTAATTAAATTTAATTAAAGTACGTTAAGTTACTTAAAATAAATTGTGGATATATACTCGTAAATACATATAATTTTATCAATATGCTTGATACTTTTTACTATGACGTT